TGTGTGTGTGTGTGTGTGTGTGTGTGTGTGTGTGTGTGTGTGTGTGTTTGAGACTGTGGGGGAGATAAAGAGAGTTGTAACTATTACAAACTTCTAAGAGCTCAAAGATTGCAAAAGTACCTTTATTTTCATGGCTGAACTCTCTCTCTCTCTCCCTACCTATACCCTACCCAGAAGAGCCGATTAAAAAAATTGCTCAAAGGATTTGGGAGCACATTCTCATGTGTTTAGTCTAAAATCCTGGAAGAAGTAGAGCAAGGTTGGTGAAGGAGTCCAGCCTCTCTCTCTATGATTGTTGACGTCTTGTTCTCTAAAATAAGCCAATATGTTCTCCCTGCTACCAATCTGCTCCTTTGTCTCCTTGTGTTTCTGAAGGAAATGTTAAGTTGACATTCTCTTATCTCCATGCAGGTGGAAGAGTAGCAGTCTCACTGTGTTGAATTCTAATTGCAGGTCATACAATTGCACTGTGCATGCTTGTCTTTTAACTTCACCAAAACATAATTAATTCTGCTTAAAACATTTCAAAGGTTGTACATATTCAAGCAAATGGTCTTACTTGCTCAAGCTTAACTTCAGCGTTTCGCTCAAGTACACTTCAAGAACAGACAGTAGGAGCTGTGGAACAAACCGCTCTACCCGCTGAGCCACAGCAACCTCTAATAATACACAAACAGCATACAACATAGAAAAAGTACCAAAAAGATAAAGGCTATAGATTACTTTCCACCCACTGGTCCTGCAATCTGAAATCACAGCATACTTTGACGCACTTTTAGAGTCTGAGGCTGTAGCAAGCATTCGGTCTGAAAGGAGGATGTTACCTTGATGTTAGTATTCCACTATGGCCTGTCTGCTGAGTATTCTCATCCAGAGTTGATCAGAAATGTAATCCAAAACAAACTCATAAGTATTTTGATGTCATCATGTCATTTTTAGATCTCTTTAAATTCGCTTAACGCTCATCAGTGGTGAGTTACAGAACTCTGTAACAGTTATGCCAAGAAACAGGGAAAGTTTGGAGGAAATCTGGTTGAGTCAGAGTCGAGCACCTCCCCTCCTTTTGAAGACAGGCCAATAGGAAAGGAGCAGACTGGAGCCCATTTGGTTATCTAAAGAAATGAGAGGTGACGTGATTAAGTAAATGAGGAGGGACAGACAGCATGGAGAGCACAGGGAGCTCATAAACCCTACCCTCAGGCTAATTCCTGAACAGGAAAATAGAGCAGAGCAAATACAAGTATATTGTGTGCATTGCTAATGACAAACAATGGGGATATCAGTTAGAGTGTCAACTAGGGTGTTAGGTTTCTGTTTAACAAAGTTCATTTCAATGTAAAGTGTCTGTTTTTTGCTGGGTAAGCCCTCTTGGTCTGGGGTATTGTACTCTTTAGGCCCCAGTAACTCTGCTGAGTACTTTTGACAGATTTCTACTGACAAGCTCTCTAAAACCCAGGCGCCTTTTCAACATGGGAGGGAACACAGTCAGTGCTTTCTATGCAGCAGAACACGCTGTGAAAAAGCTGTTTGAAGAGCGCCGTCAGAGGGAGAGAAGGGAGACAAGTTTGAGGATGAGAAGAGTTTGGTGGGGACAAGAGTTCAGTCTTTGTCACTTGTAACTTTGGAAGGTGGTTGCCGAATTCCTGCCCCCCCCCCCACACACACAGACACACGCCCACACACCAACTGTGGGGTGAAACCCTTACAACTTAAAAAATGCAGCAGTCATGTTGTTAGTGTGGTGGGCATGGCAGGTTATGCTTAGGTCTCTCTCCAACATGAGTTTTGAGTTCCCCCTTTCATGGATCCTGTTGTCCCAACTCAAAGAGGATCACTTATACTTTAACTTAAGTTTGGAAATTACGTAAAGCTGGAATGAAGACATTTCCTCATGACAACAGCAACGTCACTAGCAATAAAAAATCTTTCCAGTGGGTTGTGGTGTGTTGCCTCAGTAAGAAATTAAAAGCACATTAGCCATTTGATGAGTATGCAGAATGCTGAAGTTTTACCTCTGTTGTAACAGATGCTGCTCTTTGTATGTACTAATGCCGCAGCGGTGTGTTTAACTGAGTCATCTATCCCTTATGGCAAGATATTATGACAACATAGCAAAACCAGTTTTCCAAGTCTCAGAATACACCATCAGCATCACAGGAACAAGCTAACTGCGCTGTGAGTGTACCTGTTTTCCTGAAGCTGATCGGTCATCTATCATCTTTCCTTGATTCTCTTCTCTGATTCTCTACAGTGATTATGGAGAACAGGTTAAATGCTCTCTTTCTCACAACCTCCTGAGGAAAGTTAATCTCATCTCAGCTTTTCTTAATTGCTTCTACTCCATCTGTAGAATGTTGATAGGATTGAATATACAATAACACTAGAAAGAAACATAGCTAAGTAGAGGAAGTCCGCCAAAGTCAGAAGGTGTGTTTCCTTACTGGCTGTAAGCTAGTTGCCCCAACAAGCACTACATTTGAGACAAATCTGAAACCTAGTTGAAACCTGAAAAGACTGGACAAACCACACGTGAAGATGGCTTACAACAATTTACGCAGATTTTTTTGTCTTTGACTGGGTGAATTCATAAGACAACACACTGAACTGGCTTGTTTATATGCAGTGTAATTTCCACTGAAACGGTGAAAAGAGGAAGAGGAAAGCACAGAGTTAGGATGAGATCCTGGATGGAGAGGCGTGGTCAACACGGACTGTAGCCCATAGCTTAGAGAGAATTGGAGGTGAGTGAACTTTGTAAAACAAAGCTAACTTTGGGCAAAGCTGTTTATTTTTCCAGTATGTCAATGGTGGGTTTTTTTCAATTTGAGAGCATGGCTTATTTGATTTCACTTTTACATTTTGTAATGCTTTCCTTCAAAATCCTGTCCGTGCACCTAAATATCCCCTTCTTGAGCTTGGATTTCCTCTGCATCTGCTCAAACTTTATGCTTGCACACAGATGTTTTGTTGCTTGCACAGATGTCATGTGCTCCATCTTCATCCCCTTTTCTCACACTTACGCTGCTTCTGTGTGCTTGTGAAACGTCTTCTCTTGGATGTGTCAGATAGAAGCGGGACACACGGGATGTATTCATCAAAGCACATATTGAATTTTTTTTTAAAAAAGCAATTCTTAAAGATTAAGAATCTTCACATATCATCCATTGTTAACCCATTGATCCGGTTCAACTTGGTCCGAAATCATATTCATTATCAGTCGTATTATGGTAGGCCTACTATTATAATAAATGGTGGTAAATGCTAACTTTACGATGTCAAGGAGTGTTAAAGCTGTTACTTTTTTTTACTTAACAATGGAGAAAAAAATGTGTATATGTAATGTGAAAAGGGTCCCTGGCGGGGATGCACCCACAAGTAATTGTTCTCAAACTCTGTGGTTTCCCCCAGCTTTGAGGGGTATTTAAGCACCTTTCAGTTTTAGTTGTATTGCCCACAACTATTGTTTTGGTTCAGTCTCATTAGCCTTGATTCAAGCCACAATAGGGAGATATTTTCACACAAAGAAACGCTCTGACAGTTAGCTACTAGCTAGTTAGTATAGTGGGGTATAAAATTAAGCAAAGAGACAAATATTTCCTTCTGGAGTTCGGGAGTAAACACAAAATAGAAATGAATGCTAATATTCGAGCCTATTGCATGTTTGGATAGGCAATCCTTTGTTAATGCAGTCTTTATATCTAACAAATGTCCACATTGTGTTTACAGCTTGTTCCATATGCCCCAAATAAATAAATGCAAACATTGTTTTGTTTTTCTTTGCTGGGCGTCACAGCCACAACCTTGAGAACGATATGTGTCAGAGAAAATATGCACTGTTTTCTCTAGGAGGGGGG